GCACAGAGTTTGGTGTTCCAGAGGCCACAAGGGGTTTTAGACCCTGGACCCCAAACATTTTCCAAGACTCTTTTATATTATGACAGATAAGCCAGTCCTGCCTGAGCTCTTCTACCAACACATTAGCATTCATGTCTTTCAAACTGAAGAACTTCTTTTGGCATTTTTTATAAGGCAGATCTGGTGTTGATGAATTCCCTCAGCTTCTGTTTGTCTGAGAAAGTCTTTATCTGTCTTTCATGTTTGAAGGATATTGTTAGGTACAGTGTTCTTGGATAGCGATTTTCTTTCTTCAGAACTTTGAATATAGCATCCCAGTCTATCCTGGCCTTCAAGGTTTCTGCCGATAAATCTATTGAAAGCCATATAGGAGCTCCATTGAATATGATACGATTCTTTTCTTTTGATGCTTTGGATATTTCTTCTTTGTCTTTGATTTTTGCTAATTTGATTATGATGTGACTTGGGAAATTCCTCTTTGGGTTGAATTTGTTTGATGACATCTGAGCTTTCTGTTCCTGGATGCTGTTGTCTTTCTCCAGATTTGGAGAATTTTCAGCCTTACTCTTTTAATATGCTTTCTAGGCCCTTTTTCTCTCTCATCTTCTTTGGGAATGCTAATTTTGCAGAAGTTAGTTTGCTTGAACGTGTCCCATAATTCTCATAGACTTTTTAAAATTTTTCTTTTTGCTCTTCTGACTAGGTAATTTCATATGTTCTGCCTTCAGGCTCACTAGTTCTTTCCTCTGTTTGGTTAAGTTTGCTGTTGAAGCTTTCTAGTGAGTTTTTCACTTCAGTTACATTCTTTATTTCTAGGATTTATATTTGATTTTTAAAAATTGTTTCTATTCGTATTTCTCATTTTGTTTTTCAAATTTGATTTAGTTTTCTATTTGGATTTGTGTGTGTGTGTGTAAATCCTTAAAATTCTTTAAGAGGATTACCCTGAATTGCCTGTCAGACATTTCATAGATTTTCAGTTTTTCCGGATCTGTTGCTGGAGCTCTACTGGTTTTGTTTGGTAGTGTAATATTTCCCTGACCTAAGTTGATGCTTGTGTATTTGAAGAGATAACTACTGCTTCCACTTTTTGCAGGTTTGCTTTGGTAGTACTAGATCTTTACTTCTTAGTTTCAGAACTTGAACCATGGCCTCTTGTTTTTTTCTTGGTCTGGCAAGAACTTATAGTGAATGCTGGAATTTAAACAGTATTCCAGAACCAAGTCACTGCACTTCTGTTCTTTCTCAGTCTGGTGAAGACTCTTAGTACTGGAACACTGCACTGGAACTATATTGCTGGCCTTACATTATTTCCCAACCTGGGAAATACTTAAGTGGGTACTGCAACTTAATCCTGGCCTTTAAGTTGTTTCCAGGCCAAGGAAAGACTTTATACAGTCACCTGGGCTTTGTGGAAAATATATCTAGGGATTTGATCCTTCCTGTGGATTATGCCCCTTGCAGTGCTTTTGTACTGGCCACTCCCTTCAACGTGGCGTCCCCACTGGTCAATGTGCCAAGTGGCCACCAAGATCTGTGCACCAGTTACTGTGATCAGCACCCTATTCTTTCTCCCCAGTGAACCCCAGGTTTTTCTGGCCTCCTGGCACTCCCAGTGGTTTCTGTGGGATGGAACTGGAGTGATCTTCTTGTGAAGATTCCCAGACTAGCAAGGAGAGCAATTTTCCACTTCTAATTCCCTCTTATCTTAGCAATCATGGGTCGAGGGCAGTTCTCTTTGAGTTTTGCTGGCTTGTAGGGAGGGGGCAGTTGGCACAGTGTGAAATGACTATTTCTCTTACTAATCATAGTTTCTTGATTCTGTGGGCCCAAAGGGTTTCTCCACTTCTCTTCAGAGTTCTAGCATATTCAAGTGGTATTCTTGTGTTTGAATAGTTTCTGGTTGTATTTTTGTAGGGGGAGTGATGCTGGGCAGTCTTCTGTTCCACCATCTTGCTGATATCAGAACACCAAAAAAATTTTTGTTAGAATATCTTCCACAGAAATCCAGAAGGATGAGCCTCCATTAGTTTTTGTTTCTTTGTGAAAATTAGGCCAATTCTTATGCAAATGAAAGCTTCACTCCGTAAGTGTATTTTAGGTCCCTGTCTTGGAGAAACTTACAGTTTAATGACTTGATTAATGATCTCTTTTATCATTCTTCCATCATTTAATATGGTGACTTAGAAAATCTTAAATAAGCTGTGGAGTATCCCCAGGAGTTCCATGATCAGCTTTCAAAGATACTTAAATGTACACATCCACACACATATAGTGTCTTGTAGTCTAGTCATAAGCTTTTCACAGTATTAACCAATCATCCAAAAAGTAGTAAGATCTGTCTGAAATCAATATTTTAATACATCATCAAAAATTCCACATTTTAATACTCAAAATTTAAGCAAATTCCTCAGTGCCTCATTTATAGGCACTAAATGGAATTATTTAAATTGGTACAACTGGACATGGGGCTCATCCCCATAACTCCAGCACTTTGGGAGGCCAAGGCAGGTGGAAGACTTGAGGTCAGGAGTTCGAGATCAGCCTGACCAACATGGTGAAACCGTATCTCTACTAAAAATACAAAAAATTAGCCTGGCATAGTGGCACACGCCTGTAATTCTAAACACTCCAGAGGCTGAGACAGGAGAATCTGTTGAGCTCAGGAGGTGGAGGTTGCAGTGAGCAGAGATCATGCCATTGCCGTCTAGCCAGGGTGACAGAGTGAGACTTCATCTCAAAAAAACATAAAATAAGCCGAGCGCGGTGGCTCAGGCCTGTAATCCTGGCACTTTGAGAGACTGAGGCGGGTGGATTACTTGAGGTCAGGAGTTTAAGACCAGCCTGGCCAACATGGTGAAACCCCATCTCTACTAGAAAGAACAAAAATTAGCCACGTATGGTGGCAGGCACCTGTAATCTCAGCAACTTGGGAGGCTGAGAGGCACAAGAATCGCTTGAATCTAGGAGGCAGAGATTGGGCCACTGCACTCCAGCCTGAGTGACAGAGCGAGACTCTGTCTCAAAAAATAATAAATAAATAGATTGGTATATTTCAGTTATCAGGGATATTCCTATTATCCGTTTACCATCCCTCTGAAAGTCACCCATTAAACAGAACCTTCTCTTAAATGATAGCTGTATAGATACAGCTTCAAGATAAGTTCTCTAGTCCACTAATATGCCTTCCTCTTCACTCACCCCCCAGAAAAACTCAGCTTCTCTGTAATCGTTTTCTGCTAGAGATTGGTTTCTTATAATATCACATTAAATTATTCTCGTTTTATTCAGTTATATTACCTCTCATTTGAGAGGCCTACTCTGACTTTTACATATAAACTAGTACATGCTATATACATATACCTTTTTTTTCTTTATAACCAGCAACAGTATATATTTGTCTACCGTTTATTCACTAAAGTGAGAGCTCCAAGAGAACAGGGATTTTGTCGTTGTTTGCTCCTAATATCCCTTTTACCTAGAGCAATGCCTAGAAATAAGGTACCTTAGCAATTTTTTTTTTTTTGAGACGGAGTCTCACTCTGTCACCCAGGCTGGAGTGCAGTGGCACCATTGGGGCTCACTGCAAGCTTCACCTCCCGAGTTCACACCATTCTTCTGCCTCAGCCTCCCTAGTAGCTGGGACTAAGGTGCCCACCCCCACGCCCGGCTGTTTGTATTTTTAGTAGAGACAGGGTTTCACCGTGTGAGCCAGGATGGTCTCGATCTCCTGACTTCGTGATCTGCCTGCCTCGGCCTCCCAAAGTGCTAGGATTACAGGCGTGAGCTACCGTGCCCGGCCAACTTAGCAGTTTTTAAGTTTTGTTAGAATAAATCTAAACAAATTAAAAATTTCACTTTTTTGGGCCATATTTCATATGTTTTGCTACTACATATTTTTATTAACTTATCATTAATGTCATTTTACTAAAAACTGTTGGGTTCATGGGTAATGTTTCTAGATAATAAGGTGTGAATTTTTGTAATTATTGCTGAAATATTTGGTTATATGTTGTAATTATATGACTGTGAAATCAGTGTTTTAAGAAAATAGAACTCAGGGCCAAGGCAGGCATATCATTTGAGGTCAGGAGTTTGAGACCAGCCTGGCCAATGTGGTGAAACCTCATCTCTACTAAAAATACAAAAGTTAGCCCAGCATGGTGGTGGGCACCTGTAATTTCAGCTACTTGGAAGGCTGAGGCAGGAGAATTGCTTGAACCCGGGAGGCAAAGGTTGCAGTGAGCCAAGATCATGCCACTCACTGCACTCCAGCCTGGGTGACAGAGCGAGACACCGTCTCAAAAAAAAAAAGAAAATAGAACCCAGTTTAAAATTACATATTCTAGTATCAGTCATACAGGATAATAGCAGTGCTTGTCATTTTCACACATATTTGAACATTGTTCATCAGTAAAAGTTTCCCTTTACATTTTATGTCTAGTTTAACCTATATGACATTGTTCAGATTCCACCATTTTCCGACCTATAATGACATCAGTTACATTTTTGTATTGAAATAGATGAATAATCTGATCTCTGATATTCTTTTTTTTTTTTTTTTTTTTGAGACGGAGTCTCTGTCGCCCAGGCTGGAGTGCAGTGGTGCAATCTCAGCTCTCTGCAAGCTCCGCCTCCCGGGTTCATGCCATTCTCCTGCCTCAACCTGCTGAGTAGCTGGAACTACAGGCACCCGCCACCATGCCCAGCTAATTTTTTGTATGTTTAGTAGAGACGGGATTTCACTGTGTTAGCCAGGGTGATCTTGATCTCCTTACCTCATGATCCACCTGGCTTGGCCTCCCGAAGTGCTGGGGTTATAGGCATGAGCCACTGCACCTGGCCTGATCTCTGATACACTTTTCTCTCCACACCGCCCCCCCCCGCCCCACCCCATTTTTTGTTGTTGTTGCTGTTAAACACTGAAATGATTTGTGTGGTGAGGGAACACTACAGTTCATATTCATGTAACTTTGCAATGCCCTGTTATTTATTTCCAGGCTATTTAGCAGACATGACCCACAAGCAGAAGAAGCATTAGCAAAGAGGAGGGGAAGAAACAGCCCGAATGGAAACCTCATTAGGATGCTGGTTCTTTTCTTTCTTGAAAGTGAGGTAAAAAATGTTTTAAGATAACTCATTTATTTTTATTATATTACATGTTAAATAAAATTGTCATTTCATTTTAATTTTTTTTAAATCAAATAAAAACAAGTCTGTTTCTTACAAAGTTGCCTTCATGAATTGCATGATATAGAAGCAGTCCTTTACCTTTTGTGGAAAGAATTTCTGAATATACATGTAGGTGTGGATCAATACTGAATACAGACTGGCAATTGTTAAACTTTTACAGTATTGCAATACTGCATAACTTTTTTTTTTTTTCTTTTGAGACAGGGTCTCACTCTGTTGCCCAGGCTGGGGTACAGGGGTGCGATCTTGGCTCACTGCAGCCTCTGCCTCCCAGGTTCAAGGGATTGTCCTACCTCACTCAGCCTCCTGAGTAGCTGGGACTACAGGTGCTCACTACCATGCCCAGCTAATTTTTGTTTCTTTAGTAGAGACGGATTTTCACCATGTTGGCCAGGCTGGTCTTGAATTCCTGACTTCAGGTCATCCACCTGCCTTGATCTCTCAAAGTGCTGGGATTATGGTCATGAGCCACCGTGCCCAGCCTGCATACCTTTTTTTTTATTGTTCCCTCTTTTGTTTTTATGCCTATAGCTGTTACATCACATTAAACAGTTTTTGAAAATTGTCAGACTGTCAATAACACTAGTTTTATCTTGTTTGAAAATTACTTAGTAAGGAGAAAGAAAAATATGAATTCATGTTTTGATATTTGTACAAGCCTCATAGCAATGTTTTTAATGTGCTATATTCAGTTATTGCTTAAACAATTTTGTAATTAACACTTACATGTCAGGATCTGTTTTTGCAAGTAAGCTTTGGTTTTTCCACCAAAATGGTGTGGGGTTTTTTTTGTTTGTTTTGTTTTTTGTTTTTTAATCTGTATTTCCTACTACTGCCATGTCATGGGGAAATGGTAAATTAAATCTGAAGAACTCCTGAATAACTTCTTCATTTAGAAATGGTTGAAAATAGAGTTGCAGGCCACGTGCAGTGGCTCAGGCTTGTAATCCCAGCACTTTGGGAGGCCGAGGTGGGCAGATCACTTGAGGCCAGGAGTTTAAGATCAGCCTGGCTAGTATAGCAAAAGCCCGTCTCTACTAAAAATAGAAAAGAAATAGCTGGGCGTGGTGGCACACACCTAATCACAGCTAATTAAGAGGCCGAGGCACAAGAATCGCTTGAACCCAGGAGGCAGAGATTGCATGCAGTGAGCTGAGATTTTGTACCACTGCACTCCACCCTTTGCCACAGAGCCAGATTCTGTCTCAGAAAAAATTAAAATAAATAAGCAAACAAAATAGAGTTGCAAAAGAAGTAGAGAACATCTGGAAACCTAGGACTCTCAATTTTATTTGTTAAAAAGTGTTTTTGATTTGTGCTAAAATGTCAGTGAAGAAGAGAAACGATTCTATGAATGCTCAAGTTTGAGAGTAAGAGGGGAACTTCGTAGGAATAAGGAAGAGAGACACAAACAGGTAGCCTGTATGAAAATTAAAATTGGAGAAGTAAGAACTCAGTCAGTGGAATGAAGGGTGTTAGGGCAAAATAGCAGAAAGTGGTGAAGGAGTTGCTGCTATTTTTTAAGAGAGTTACCAATGAATAGAGAAATAAAGTCAGAAACAAAACTAGCTAGAGAGTTGAATTTGAGTAAAGAATGGGTTTAATAGTGTTTTAAATGTGTATACAAATTACCTGAGGATCTTGTTAAAATGCCAGTTCTGATTCAGTAGCTCTAGAACGGGGCCTGAGATTCTGCATTTCTAACAGTCTCCAAGATAGTGCTTATGCTCCTGGTCCAAGGATCACACTTTGCATACTAATGATTTGAAGCATTATTTTCTTAACAAGCCAGGGTAGATATATTACAGAATAAAGTGCAAAATGTGAATTTTTTTAGTAAAACACTAACTACCCCATAAATATCACATGTCTAGTAAACCATCTCAACTTATACTCTTATCTCCCTTAGGTTTTAGAGGAATGGAATAAAAAGTAGCCAGGCATGGTGGCTACTTGGGAGGCTAAGGTGGGAGGATCCCTTGAGCCCAGGAGTTGCACAGGCTGTGCAGTAAGCTATGATTGCACCATTTGCACTCCAGCCTGTGCAAGACCTAGTCTCTTAAAAAAAAAACAAAAAAGCAACAATAGTTTCAGAAATTGATAAGTATGAGATAACTACTGAAAAGTTTAGGGAATATGATGATCTTCGCTAACTGACTTTGATTATTAATTAAAGGAAAATGTTTTTTATCTCTGAAAGCTCAAGGACTTTTCAATTTATTAAAAGGCATGAATACTTAGTTTCAGGCTGTTTGTCGTTTATTTAAAGAAGTAATTTGTAATGTTTATTACTGCACAATTTTCAGATGGTCTTACTGTATTCCTGTGTTTGCTACCATTTTCTAAAGTCTTACAACAGTATTAGAATGTATTTGTCAGTTATCCTGTATTGCATTTCTTTTTTTTTTTTTTTTCCTTTTTTTTTTTGGAGACAGAGTCTTGCTCTGTCACTCAGGCTGGAGTGCAGTGGCATGATCTCAGCTCACTGCAACCTCTGTCTCCCAGATTCAAGCAGTTCTCATACTTTAGCCTCCAAGTAGCTGGGACTACAAGTGTGTACCACTATGCCTGGCTAATTTTTGTATTTTTGGTAGAGACAGGGTTTCACCATGTTGGTCTGGCTGGTCTCGAACTCCTAACCTCAAGTGGTCCACCTGCCTCGGCCTTCCAAAGTGCTGGAATTATAGGCGTGAGCCACCACACCTGGCCCTGTATTGCATTCTTGACAGCTACAAAAGAAACTGCAAATAGTATTGAAAGGTTGATTCTTATGATTCATGGTGTTTATATTGACTTTTATGGTCTCCTGTGTTTCACAAGAAATTTTCTTTGTGAAAATCTCTCCTCTTATCTTTTTATACTTGTGTTCCCCCAGGATGAATGCTTAATTAAGCCATATTCTTATAGTGTGATGGTATTCCAATTATGCTCTACTCTGAATTTCTCTTTATTTTACTGTCACACACTTTAATTGGTAAAATTTAGTAATAGACTTGTGAAATACTAAATTGAAAGAGACTTTAGAAATAATAAAGTAGAGGGAGTCTTTTTAGGGGTATGGAGTCTTGCTGGAGTGCCGTGGTGCAATCTCAGCTCACTGCAACCTCTGCCTCCTGGGTTCAAGCGATTCTCCCATCTCAGCCTCCCGAGTAGCTGGGATTACAGGCATGTGCCACCACGTCTGGCTAATCTTTATATTTTTAGTAGAGATGGGGTTTCGCCATGTTGGCCAGGCTGGACTTGAACTCCTGACCTCAAGTGATCCACCCTCCTCAGCTTCCGAAAGTGCTGAGATTACAGGCATGAAGCACTGTCTGCAGCCAAGGGAGTCTTTTATAGATGAGTTACAGACTGATATGGTTTGGCCCTATCCCCACCCACATCTCATCTTGAATTGTAATAATCCCCACGTGTCAAGGATGGGACCAGGTGGAGATAATTGAATCATAAGGGCAGTTTTTCTTACACGATTCTCATGGTAGTAAATAAGTCTCACGAGATCTGATGTTTTTATCAATGGGAGTTCCCCTGCACAAGCTCTCTTGCCTGCCACCATGTAAGATGTCCCTTTGTTCTTCCTTCATCTTTTGCCATGATTGTGAGGCATCCCCAGTCATGTGGATCTGTGAGTCCATTAAACCTCTTTCACTTAAAAATTTCCCAGTCTGGGATATGTCTTTATTAGCAGCATGAGAACAGACAAATACACAGACATCTACCTGGGATAAACTGAACTGATTATTTTACCGAAATGAGAAGTAGTAACATTTTAATAGAATTATAAAATGCTGAATTGAAATCAGTTTACAGTGCAGGTAAAATGTGATTAAGAGATCTGCCTAAACAAGTCTGTAACTTTATTTTCTTTTGGTACCAAAAGGTGATTTTTTAAGATGTTTTAACCTGTGACAGCCATTGATTTCAGATGACAAAATACCTTGTATTTTAGATGCACGCCAGATAGTTGGATAAGTCGTACTTGAATGTGATGAGTCTGGATTTCCCTAGAGGTAGTATGACTCCAGAATTTATTATAAAAAGTGTGATGCCGCCAGGTGCAGTGGCTCACGCCTGTAATCCTAGCACTTTGGGAGGCTGAGGCGGGCAGATCACGAGGTCAGGAGATCAAGACCATCCTGGCTAACATGGTGAAACCCCGTCTCTACTAGAAATGCAAAAAATTAGCCGGGCCTGGTGGCGGGCACTTGTAGTTTCAGCTACTTTGGAGGCTGAGGCAGGAGAATAACATGAACCCAGGAGGCAGAGCTTGCAGAGAGCCGAGATTGTGCCACTGTCCTCCAGCCTGGGTGACAGTGTGAGACTCCAGCTCAAAAAAAAAAAAAAAAGTGTGATGGTTTGCTTTTCAGAGGGATAAGGATGCTAGATGCTATTAGTAATTATTTCAAAACAACAAGAACAACCCAGAACATTTCTGGATAATCTGGCAGTATGCTCCTCCTCCTCCTCCTCCTCCTCCTCCCTTCTTCCTCCCTTCTTCCTCCTCCCTTCTTCCTTCTTCTTTCTTCTTCTTTCTTCCTCCTTCTCCTTCTTTCTTCCTCCTTCTCCTTCTTTCTTCCTCCTTCTCCTCCTTCTCCTCCTCCCCCTTCTCCTCCTTCTCCTCCTTCTCCTCCTTCTCCTCCTTCTCTTCTTCCCCTTCCTCCCCTTCCTCCCCTCCCTCCCCTTCTTCTTACCCTCCTCCTCCCCCTCCCCCCTCTTCTCCCCCTCCTCCTCCCCCCTCTTCTCCCCCTCCTCCTCCCCCCTCTTCTCCCCCTCCTCCTCCCCCTCTTCTCCCCCTCCTCCTCCCCCCTTCTCCTCCTCCTCCTTCTCCCTCTCCTCCTCCTCCTCCTCCTCCCTCTTCTCCCCCTCCTCCTCCTCCCTCTTCCTCCCCCTCCTCCCCCTCCTCCCCCTTCTCCTCCTTCCTCCTTCTTCTCCTTCCTCCTTCTTCTTCTCCTTCTTCTTCTCCTTCCTCCTTCCTCCTTCTTCTTCTCCTTCTTCTCTCCTTCCTCCTTCCTCCTTCCTCCTTCCTCTTCCTTCTTTCCTCTTTTGGGGGTGGGGGGAGACCAAATCTCACTCTGTTGCCAGACTGGAGTGCAGTGGTGCAATCTTGGCCCACTGCAACCTCCACCTCCTGGGTTCAAGTGATTCTCCTGCCTCAGCCTCCTGAGTAGGTGGGACTGCAGTCATGTGACACCACGCCCAGCTAATTTTTGTGTTTTTAGTAGAGATGGGAGTTTTACCATGTTTGCCAGATGGTCTCAATCTCTTGACCTCATGATTTGCCCACGGTGGCCTCCCAAAATGCTGGGATTACAAGCATGAGCCACCACACCCGGCCAGTGACCCTTCTTATGAATGACAAGGCTAATTGTGACAGTCATTTTAGACAGGAAAATTGACAGCTTATTGTAGATGTGTTGAAGACATTTCCCAAAGAAGCCAGGCGTGATGGCTCATGCCTGTAATCCCAGCAATTTGGGAGGCTGAGGCAGATGGATTACCTGAGGTCAAGAGTTCAAGACCAGCCTGGCCAACATAGTAAAACCTAGCCTCTACTAAAAATACAAAAATTAGCAGGGTGGTGTGGTGGCATGCACCTATAGTCCCAGCTACTCAGGAGCCTGAGGCAGGAGAATTGCTTGAATCCGTGAGGCAGGAGGTGACAGTGAGCCGAGATCACACCACTGCATCCTGGGCGACAGAGCGGGACTCTGTATCAAAAGTATGAAAGAAACTAAGGTACGGTATAGATTAAGAAATTTTATTATATTGCATAGTAGGAGCTATGTAAGAGAACAGAAACAACGAAGGGAGGCCAGGCATGGTGGCTCATGCCTGTAATCCCAACACTTGGGGAGAATGAGGCAGGCAGATCACTTGAGGTCAGGAGTTCAGGACCCGCCTGGCCAACATGGTGAAAGCCTGTCTCTACTAAAAATATAAAAATTAGCCTGGTGTGGTGGCAGGTGCCTGTAATCCCAGCTACTCGGGAGGCTGAGGCAGGAGAATCACTTGAACCCGGGAGGCGGAGGTTGCAGTGAGCCAAGATCATGCCCCAGCATTCCAGCCTGGGCGACAGAGTGAGACTGCGTCTGAAAATAATTTAAAAAAAAAAAAAAATGAAAGGAAAGAACTAAATTGAAGGACATATAGTCAGATTATTGCCTAATAGACTCTAAATGCAGATTATTACTTGAACATGTTTTCTCGGGAAGTGAAAAATCAATACAATAAAAGGAAAAGAGGAGTATAAGAAACACTGGTGAGCAAATAAATTTGAAAAAAAACCCCTTAGAGCTAAACCTAAAAACTATGACATTGATGTTTAAGGCAAATATCTATTAATTTTTTAAATGTAGGAGTATAATGTTCAAATTAAGTGAAGAGAAGTGATAAACAGGCTAAGGATTTTGGTAATGGAAAAATGTTGGAAAATAAAACCATGAATGAAGGACAGATAAAGTAATCAAGGAAACATCACAAATAGAGTACAGAGAATAAAATGCCAGCAATATTTTCAGTAGTAATCCCAATAAATGTAAATAAATTAACATGTTTTATTAAAATGCAGATTATCATTTGGGATTGAAATAAATGAAAAATAGCTATATGCTATTTACAAACACATCTTAAAATAAATTAGAGGAAGTTTATAAATAATAGGCTGGATAAAGGCTGGAAATAACTAATAAATGGTTACGCAAAGATAGCAGAGGGGGCAATATCAATACAAGATAAACCAGAATTAAAGACCAAAAACATTAAAAGGGATAGAAAGGGGATATTTTATATTTATTGAAGGTATACTCTGCCAAATATATACAATTGTAAATCTTTATATACCTATTCTACAGAAATACTCATAATCAAGCATACAAGCATATTCAGCTGAATTTTTTTTTTTTTTTTTTTTTTTTTGAGACGGGAGTCTCGCTCTGTCGCCCAGGCTGGAGTGCAGTGGCCGGATCTCAGCTCACTGCAAGCTCCGCCTCCTGGGTTTACGCCATTCTCCTGCCTCAGCCTCCCGAGTAGCTGGGACTACAGGCGCCTGCCATCTAGACCGGCTAGTTTTTTGTATTTTTTTTAGTAGAGACGGGGTTTCACCGTGTTAGCCAGGATGGTCTCGATCTCCTGACCTTGTGATCCGCCCGTCTCGGCCTCCCAAAGTGCTGGAATTACAGGCTTGAGCCACCGTGCCCGGCCTCAGCTGGTTTTTTTATTGTAAAATATATAAAACAAAATTTACCTTGTTAAGTATACAGTTCATTGGCATTAAGTAGGTTTATATTCCTAGGCAATCATCACTGCCATTTATCTCCAGAAATTTTTCAAATCTTCCCAAACTGAAACTCTGCCCGTTAAACAATAACTCTTTAATTTAGCATGGGTTAATAGCAACAGTTTTGAAACAATTTATTTTTCTTTTTTCTGCTGCGATTGTTCGTCTTTGACTCTTGAGTTGTGTACCTCTTGTGCCTGTCACTGTTGGAGTAATGTTATGGATGGTCTAAGGATAGTTTCTCAGAATATATGAATTAGGAAAGTTTGAAGATACCTGCCTCAAACTTTGCCTATATTATTTACAAGCAAAGATGCCAATCAATATTATTTACTCTTGCTTTGATGGAATTCACTGGGACATGTTGTATGTATTTGAAATGCAATTGAAATGAAGTACTGAATTAAGTGTTAGAAGAGGCAGAGCATTACATAAGTCATTAAAATTCACACTGAAACCAGCCTGGTAACGTGGTAAACCCATCTCTACATACACACAGACAAAAAAAGTGCAGGGCGAGGTTGCACAGTCCTATAGTCCCAGGTACTCCAGGGGCTAAGGTCGGAGGATCACTTGAGCCCAGGAAGTCAAGGCTGCAGTGAGCCATGATTATGCCAGCGCACTGCAGCCTGCGCAACAATACTGTGAGACCCTGTCTCCAAAGAGGGGAAAAAAGTCACACCGAAGAGTGATTATAGAGTTAGAAATGAGGAAGAAATCCAACTCAGGTGCTGAATGTGCCAGGATGACAGTAGATAACTGATAGTAGATCTAGAAGGGTGACTTTTATACTTTTGGGCCACTACTCATGATGAGAAAAACATTACCTCTCAGAAGTACAAGCACATATAACAAATTACAGTTGATAAAATAGTATTTACCCTTTCTATGTGCTATGCACTGTTTCTACTGTGCATCATTTTTTGAATCTTTGTTCTCAGTGCATTGAATTGGTTTAACAACCCAAGAATGGGTTGCAGTCTGTAGTTCGACTAACACTGATTACCAGGACTGTTTATCTGAATGTAATGAGCCTCAAAAGTGGAAGATCTTTTATATTAGGGTGGAGAAGTTACTTGTAAGTAGAAGAAATCAGAACAATGCCAACACCTTCTGCTTCATTAGAGTAATATTCTCAGGGCCCAGCACGGTGGCACACACCTGTAATCCTAGCACTTTGGCAGGCCGAGGCAGACAGATCTCTTGAGGTCAGGAGTTGAAGGCCAGCCTGGCCAGCAGGATGAAACCCCATCTCTACTAAAAATACAAAAATTAGCCAGGCATGGTGGCGTGGGCCTGTAATCCCAGCTACTCAGGAGGCTGAGGCAGGAGAATCACTTGAACGCCGGAGGTGGAGGTTGCAGTAAGCTGAGGTTACACCACTGCACTCCAGCCTGGGCAATAGAGCAAGACTCCATCTCAAAAAAAAAAGGATAATATTCTTCAAGGCTTAATGACTGTCTAGTGGTAGAGTTTGGTGTGAAGTGTTTGATGAAGACCTTAACTATTTACTGCGGGAACATGGGCTCCAAAGAAAATTGTCAAGAGAATAATGACCAACAAAAAATGGGGGTGGAGTAAGGAATGAAATGAGTCCAGTGGAAATGAGAGAATAGTGGAGACGTGGAGTAACTTACATTTTTTACTTTGACTAAGATGACAGAGATGTGAAGTAAGTACAGCTGGTCCAAAAGTTTCTAATGGAATTCTGAGGGAAAATGATTAATTTCCTTTAAAAAATAAAAATAAAGATAGTTGAAGAGACCACAAGGAATAGTGAAAAGTGACCTAGATCTAACATATAACTTCAGAAAATTTTCTAACTAGCTATGCAGTTTCCTCATCTATAAATGATGTCATTGGTCTAGGAGATCCTTACTTTTACTACCGTAAATGGTAAAAAGTCAATTCTGCATACTGCATCCACACTATTGACAGTGGAATGTGAATATATATATTGTTCTCTAAGTGGTTTTTAGAATCATGGAGACCAAGCCATTTTAATTATGAAGAAAATGATTTCTTAAATTAGTATTAGTAGTTTGTTTGTTAAATATTCTTGGGTCACACTTGATCTCTTCTTTTTAGTTACATGAACATGCAGCCTACTTGGTGGACAGTTTATGGGAGAGCTCTCAAGAACTGTTGAAGGACTGGGAATGTATGACAGAGTTGCTATTAGAAGAACCTGTTCAAGGAGAGGAAGGTATAGTATTTTGACAAGTTAATTTACATGATTTTGTATTTCCATTGATAGCAATACAGTTGTATATAGATCGCTTCTTAAAAACGAGCAATACAGTTGTATATAGACCGCTTCTTATATAAGCATGCTGTGTCTTTTTGCCAAGAGAACAATTTGTTTTCTATAACAAGGATGTCTGAATTGTTTCTAACATTTTTCTGTATTAACACTGCCACCATGCCACAAAAGTTTTTAAAAATCCATATGTGTCATATAATAAAGAAGTTTTTCTTTACTTTTTCCTTTTTAAATTTAAGTGACAGGGTCTTGCTCTGTCACCCAGGCTGGAGTGCAATGGCCCAATCATAGCTCACTGCAGCCTTTGAACTACTGGGCTCTAAGGATCCTCCCACCTGAGACTATGGGCACATGCCACCACATTCAGCTAATTTTTAAATTTTTTGTGGAGAGGGGATCTTACTGTGGTCCCCAGACTGCCTCAAGTAATCTTCCTGCCTCAGCCTTCCAAAGTGCTGGGATTACAGCATGAGCCACTGCACCTGGCCATAAAGGTTTTCTCGATGCTGATTTGAGATACAAAATACTGATGTAACTTAATGGTTTTTTCTTTTTTAAGTGCATCTGGAGTTTTTTGTTTGTTTGTTTGTTTTTTTGCTTGATTTATATATGAACTTGGGGAAAACCTTTTATACATAATGATTTAATTAAACCACAGCCATCCCCTTTTGTTATATTTTCTTTAAGATGAAAATCAGGAAATCAGAGATAAGGTCATTTACCTGGCTGTTCAAGAAGCGGGGACATAAGAGTAACATGATAATTTTTGAAGTATGCATCTTTTTATATGCTACTTAATAATATGCACAGCAAATTGAACATGTATACCTAATAAAGAGGTTGTGTTCTAAAAGCTTATATGCGTATTAGCTTGTTAGAACTAGAAATGCTTTTTCCTATGTATGGTTAGGTTTTCAGACTAGCCCACAATAGTACTTTAAAGGACTGGTAACTCATTTAATTCATACAACAGCCTTAGAAGGTGAGTGATGCCTTAATGTAAGGCCCACAGTAGATTGAACATGGTCTTCAGAATCAAAAGAAAATTTTTTGTGTGTGTGATTGAGTCTTGCTCTGTCGCCCAGGCTGGAGTACAGTGGCACATTCTCGGCTCACTGCAACCTCTGCCTCCCGGATTCATGCAATTCTTCTGCCTCAGGCTCCTGAGTAGCTGGGACTGCAGGCACATGCCACCACGCCCAGCTAATTTTTGTGCTTTTATTAGAGACAGTATTTCGCCATATTGACCAGGTTGGTCTTGAACTCCTGACCTCAGGTGATCCTCCCACCTTGGCCTACCATAGTGCTTGAATTACAGGCGTGAGCCACCGCATCTGGCCAGAATCTAAAGAAATATTAATTCAGATTTTTAACTCTGTCTCTTGTTACTTATGTCCTCAAATTTTCTGATCCTTAGTTTGCCTTTTTCTATAACAGAGATTATTTCCTTGTGTACCTTATATAGCTGTGAAGATTAAGAAAGATAATGTTCTATTGAGTCCCTTTTCTGCTTCCTGTACCCTTCTGTGTGGTTCATCCTTTTGAAATATTATAAGAGCATAATGAGCCATCCTCTGCAGTAGAATGCCCATACAGATTACTGGGAGAATGAGCATCCCCCAGTGTTCCTTCCAAGCAATGATACTAATTTGTATTATCTGTTCTGGCTTTGACATAATTCAGTGAGAGAAACAAGTTCATGTTAAACCTAGATACACACTGGTAAACTGGCCCAAAATGCCTCTTCTAAACTAAAAACATTTTTCTTATTTACTGTGTATGATACAAATTCTTCCCAGACTTTTCTCAGACCTTTCAAGGAAGATCTTATTATGCTATATTTGTCTCTAGCTGTAATTGTTATTTACTTTATTTGCACATGTTTTTTCATTCCATGTATCCTTAGTAAGAAAGTGGCCCTAGACCAGGCGTGATGACTCATGCCAGTAATCCCAGCACTTTGGGAGGCTGAGGTAGGTGGATCACCTGAAGTCAGGAGTTCAAGACCAGCCTGGCCAACATGGCAAAACCCCATCTCTACTAAAAATACAAAAATTAGCTAGGTTTGGTGGCGGGGACTTGTAATCCCATCTACTCGAGAGGCTGAGGCAGGAGGATCACTTAAACCCTGGAGGCAGAGATTGCAGTGAGCTGAGATCTCGCTGCTTCACTCCACCCTGGGCAACAGAGCGAGACTTCATCTCAAAAAAAAAAAAAAAGAAGAAGAAGATGGTCCTGTTGTTAAGTTGACAGGGCCTTCTGCTCACTAGGTGAAACTGTCCAGTGTATTTTGAATTCCCTTCACTTTTGTGATCACAGGACTATGAACATACGCTCTGTTGCCCAGGTTGGAGTGCAGTGATGTGATTCTCAGCTCACTGCGACTTCTGCCTCCTCAGCTTAAGCAATCCTCCAACCTCAACCTCCCAAGTAGCTGGGACTACAGGCGTGCACCACCATGCCTAATTTTTTGTATTTTCAGTAGAGATGGGGTTTCGCCATGTTGCCTAAGCTGGTCTCAAACTCCTGGGCTCAAGCAGTCCTCCTGCCTCAGCCTCCCAAAGTGCTGAGATTACAGGCGTGAGCCACCACTACTCCCCAGCTTACACATTCTGTTTCTAACTAACCTTAATATTTTCCCTGATAGAAATCAATTTCCCTCTAATGTCTACTGCCTTAACACTTGAGTAAAGGGCCTCAGGTTAGTATTCAATGGTAGATTCCATTCATTTTCCTTACCTTGTTTGTAGTCATAAAATTGCCAGAATAAGTTAGAGCTTCTCATTCCTTATTCCAACTCATTTTCTGTATATCACCCCATGTTCTATAAGGTTATTTCCAAGCAGAAGGGAGGCAAAGAATATAAATTAAGGGCCAGGTGCGGTGGCTCACGCCTGTAATCCCAGCACTTTGGGAGGCCAAGGTGGGTGGATCACAAGGTCAGGAGATCAAGACCATCCTGGCTAACATGGTGAAACCCCGTCTTTACTAAAAATACAAAAAATTAGCCGGGCCTGGTGGCGGGTGCCGGTAGTCACAGCTACTCTGGAGGCTGAGGCAGGAGAATGGCGTGAACCTGGTTGATGAAGCTTGCAGTGAGCCAAGATCACACCACTGCACTCCAGCCTGGGCAACAGAGTGAGACTCTGTCTCCAAAAATAAATAAATAAATAAATATAAAAATCAAGAAGAGACAAGATAGTATGCTTTGGTATTGTTAACTTTCTCTCATGTTAATAAGATGTATAAGTCAGTAAATAATAATTACTAAGTCTTTTAGTCATGAAGGTGGTCTAGGTGCATTTTACTTGTTAAAATATATACTATTAGGTGTTTCATTGTGGTTTAAATTCTGTTTACAGTGGGTTTTTTTTAACTTCCGGTCAAAAGGTTGGTTTGGCTTGGCTTGGGTTTGGTTGGTTGGTCTTAGGTAGAAAAGTAACTTACCAGATGGGAACAGTTTTAAAAGTCAACCACAGTTTTACTGATTGAATCTAGGTAGGCAGAGTCTAGGAAATTAGGCATAACAGTTGCAAAACTTTTATCTACATAATGGCTTAATTTTTTTAATACATTTTATCTGTAGGCATGTTGTACCACATGCATACCACATATAAGCTCTGGCATGGAGTGGCATCTAAGTTAATTTTCTGTGCTAGTATTTTGCTGTATTTTATGATAACAAAATGCTACCAGTAACTTTTTTTTAAAGTAATTTTTTAGATAGGTGGAATGTGTTAGAATTCCAATGGAGAAGGCTCTAGTTAGCAGTTGAAGATGTAGGACTAAATTTTGGGAAAATAGACACACTGTGACAGACTACCAACATCAGTTTAAATCACAGTGGCCTTAAGACTGTCTTACAGTGTTTTTATGGGTGGGGGTGTGTGTGTATGTGTCAGGGAGTGTTTTACAGCAAAATCAAGTTGCTGAATAAATTTTTAGTATAATGTGAGGATCTGGTTCTTGTCAACACCTCTGCCACTGGGTAACAAGACCATAACCAAATTATGTAACTTCTGGATGTCAGCTTCTTAAACTGTAAAATGAGAAGCTTTATTTTTTATTTTTTTATGGTTGTTTTTTTTTTTTGGAGACTGAGTCTCGCTTTCCCACCCAGGCTGTAGTGCAGTGGCGGATCTCGGCTCACTGCAACCTCCACCTCCTAGGTTCAAGCGATTCTCGTGTGTCAGCCTCTCTAGTAGCTGGGATTACAGGCGCCCACCACCACGCCTGGCTAATTTTTGTATTTTTAGTAGACATGGGTTTCACCATGTTGGCCAAGCTGGTCAGGAACTACTGACCTCAAGTGATCTGCCTGCCTCGGCCTCCCAAAGTGCTGGGGTTACACCCGGCTGAGAAACTTTAACTAATCTTCTTTGGTCATTTCTAGTGCTAAAATTCTGCAATCCAGTTGATGAATGAAATAGCTATAAATAATAAGGTTCTTAAAAGCAGGAATTATTAATTCATTAATAATTTAAAAATGTTTATTGACTATATGAGTCAAATATTATGCTAAGTGCCGAGCGTATAGTGTTACACTAGATGAGCTCACTGCCAATATGGAGCTTACATTCTCCTGGGAAAGGCAGACCAAAATTGAGTAAATATCCAAAATAAGTTCAAGAGTTAGTTATTAGCTTTGGTGGATAATTATAGGGGATCTATCTTTAGATTGAATCCTGATGGAAGACCTTCCTGAGTAGGCCACCTGTGAGCCAAGAAACTAAATGATAAGGCAGCCAGGCACGGTGGCTCATGCCTTTAATCCTAGCACTTTGGGCAGCCAAGGCTGGCAGATCACTTGCGGTTAGGAATTCGAGACCAGCCTGGCCAGCGTGGTGAAACCCCGTTTCTACTAAAAATCCAAAAAATTAGCTGGGTATGGTGGCATGCGCCTTGTCATCCCAGCTACTCAGGAGACTGAGGCAGGAGAATCACAGGAACCCGGCAGGCAAGATCGTGCCACTGCACTCCAGCCTGGACAACAGAGTGAGACTCCATCTCAAAAAAAAAAAAGAAAAGAAACTAAACGATAAGGGACCAGATAGGGAAAGTGTTATAAAAGAGCTATCTAGATAGAGGAAATCACAGTTTCAAAGTATCTGAAACATGATGTTATATTCTAGGAGATGCAATAGCTGGAACATAATGAACCAATGATACAAGATGTAATAGAAGCAGAAGTCAGATGATATAGAGCATTTTAGTTTATAAGTGAATTTATCTCATCCTAAATGTAATAAGGTGCTTTTGAAGATTTTAAACAGGGGAATAATGTGATCCAATTCATATTTTAAGAAAAATACCTTTCATAAACGTTGTTTGGAAGAATACATAATCATTGCAGTGGTCTCTGTGAGGAATGATGGTAAAAATATAAAAGAAGGAGATGGCTTATAAAGAGGGAAAGAGCCCATGGCTGAGTTAAAGATTCGATAGGGGACGAAAGCAGGAAGAGCGAGAAAGAATGAGAGTTCTACCTAACAATAAAAAGGATAAGAGATAATTATAACCTTTGCAAGCCCAGTAAAGAGGATGTTCAAGAGAGCCATAGTTCATAATATATATTGCAGAGGAGAAAAGAAGGCTACACAAATCATTTTGTGATGATTTAGGTCATTGGTGATTTTAAAGCATGATTCAATGATACTATATATATTCAATGATACTAAAAGAGAGAAGCCACAGTTCAAGGTGATAAGACTAAAATTAATAGTGAGGAAATGGAGGTGCTGTGCAGAAAGTTGTATAGTTATACGTTGTGTTAGAAAGTTGAAATGACAGTTTGTACCATGAACAGCTACCCATTTGTTTCAATCAGTGTAACTGTTTGGCTCTTGTCCGTGGCTTAAGGCTTATTTGCTTTCAATTTTATTATGTGGTTTTGCTGTCATATCCCAAAAGGAATTTCTATTAAATTTCAACTGCTTTTCAGTTTACCTTATCTCCCTGTTCAGGGAAAGTTTCTAAATGGATGGGTTCAAATGATAAAGTAACAAAATTGATGGAATTGAACAGTGTGCAACATTGAGTTATACTTCAACTCTACTGTGGATTTTACTCCCACGATAATGGGAGAATGTTTCTATTCTTGAGATAAGTTGTTCTGTCCTTCCTCACTTTCCGTAAGACTATATTTTCTTCCTAAATAACAGACAATGCATTTAGTTCATAGGCAGCCTTGTACTTCCTTTAGCTGCAGCCAAATGTGAAAAATTACGAATTTCTGAAATCATAAAAATAGAACTTTAGTTGTTATTGAGCAAAAAGCTTTTTTTGTATTACTAGGCATTGGATCATTTGGGTACAGATGGACAAGCCGATGTTTCATTTGTTTTTCCTAAGATAAGCTAAAGTTCATGTGTTTTTTTTTTTAAAGACAATTGTTACAACGCGGAATTAAGATGTACACACATATTTTTATAGGATAATTTTGGTACAGAATAAAGAACAAGATGTCGTTGTATCTTTTTTGCCTTTTCCTTGATTTTGCTTCAACTTAGTTTAAAATAATCAATGTAAACTTTTAAACCTTTGTAAGTTAATTGAATTCTTAAAAAATTTATACCTCATTTTGTGTCTATAATACCTGCATCTACTGGTCTTCAATATAAATAAGTATACAGAGGGAGGGAGAAAGATAGAACTAAACTATTCGAATTATCAAAATCTGAGTTTAAGGCTGGGCACAGTGGCTCACGCCTGTAGTCTAGCACTTTGGGAGGCCGAGGTGGGTGGATCACCTGAGGTCAAGAGTTCGAGACCAGCCACGCCAACATGATGAAACCCTGTCTCTACTAAAAATACAAAACTTAGCTGGGTGTGGTGGCACATGCCTGTAATCCCAGCTACTTGGGAAGCTGAGGCAGGAGAATCGCTTAAACCCAGGAGGTAAGAGGTTGCAGTGAGCCAAGATCACGCCACTGCACTCCAGCCTGGGTGACAGAGTGAGACTCCACCTCCAAAAAAAGCAACCAAAAAAAAATTTCTGAGTTTAAAAATATGTAAGAATGAGGCCAGGTGTGGTGACACATGCTTGGAATTTCAGCACTGTGGGAGGCTGAGGCCGGTGGATCACTTGAGGTCAGGAATGAGACCAGCCTGGCCATCATGGTAAAATCTCGACTCTCCTAAAAATACAAAAATTAGCCAGGTGTGGTGGCACACCTGTAATCCCAGCTACTCAGGAGGATAAAGCAGGAGAATCTTTTGAACCTGGGAGGCGGAGGTTGCCGTGAGCTGAGATCATGCCACTGCCCTCCGGCCTGGGCAACAGAGCAAGATTGTCTCAAAAAAACAGGCTGGGCGCAGTGCCTCACACCTGTAATCCCAGTGCTTTGGTAGGTCAAGACGGGTGAATCACAAGGTCAGGGGTTCAAGATCAGCCTGGCCAAGATGATGAAACCCCATCTCTACTAAAACTACAAAAATCAGCCAGGCACAGTGGCAGCCGCCTGTAATCCCAGCTACTCGGGAGGCTGAGGCAGGAGAACCGCTTGAACCTAGGCAGCAGAGGTTGCAGTGAGCCAAGATCGCCTCACTGCATTCCAGCCTGGGTGACAGAGTGAAATTCCGTCTCAAAAAATAAAAAAAAAAATTTTAAAAATGGATTCATGAAAGTATAGAGTCTATCTGAAGGAAACCATAGTTTTAATTAAATGACTTAAGATCTCAAAAGTGAAAAGCTGTATTGTATTTCTAGCTGAAAAGGTCATTTTTTTTTTTTATGGTACTAGTCATAATTCCAGTGGGTTTGAGAGAGTTCTGGGAGGTATGGTGAATAGGAACTAACTAAGCAAAATGATTTCAAAATTTATATAGAATTTTAAACTTATGTTGAAAAGACAGTATAGCATAGTGCTTAAGAGAACTGACTCTGGAGTCAAACTACCTGAGTTCATATATTAGCTCTACTACTAACTAAGTGCATCTCTCTGTGGCTCATTATCCTGTCTGTAAAGTGAGAATATTAGTTCCTATCTCTTGGAAATGTTTTGCGGATAAAACAAGTTATTAAATATAAGCTACCTATGATAGTGCTTTAGACATAGAAAATTCTTAATAAATTAATTGCTATTAGCATTATAGAAATTACACAAAATTTTAGAAAAAGGGCTAGATAAGGGAAACTTGCTTATATATTCAAGTTGGTTGAATTAAGTTACATATTAAGTTATAACAAATTACTCCATAAGTCTAGTATAATCAAAGCAGTAAAGCATTGTCACAGAAATATACAAATAGATTAGTGAAACTAAAGAATCCAAAAATACCTGAACCATGTTTAAAAATGACATTTAAATTAAAAAGGGAAATCTGGTTTAACAGTGGTGGAGACTACTGGCTATTTGGTGGGAATAAACAGGCCCACCTACTATCGTCAGAAATAAATGCCAAATAGGTTAAAAATACCAAAGCAAGAGAGACGGAAAAAGTGAAAGGAAGGAAGAGCAAAAGAGCAAGCGAGCACATGAGACAGCAAAAGACGAAATAAATTAGAAGAAAATGAAGAACATATTAGTGTAACCTCCAGGACAGAGAGATCTTTGAAGGCAGTATAAGAAACCCAGAAGCCATAAAAACAAAAGGAGACAGATGTGACTTTTTAAAAATTAACGATTTCTGGCCGGGCGCGGTGGCTCAAGCCTGTAATCCCAGGCTTTGGGAGGCTGAGACGGGTGGATCACGAGGTCAGGAGATCGAGACCATCCTGGCTAACAGGGTGAAACCCAGTCTCTACTAAAAAAAATACAAAACCTAGCCGGGCGTGGTGGCGGGTACCTGTAGTCCTAGCTACTCGGGAGACTGAGGCAGGAGAATGGCGTAAACCCAGGAGGCAGAGGTTCCAGTGAGCTGAGATCCGGCCACTGCACTCCAGCCTGGGCAACAGAGTGAGACGCCGTCTCAAAAAAAAAAAAATAACAATTTCTGCCTGACAAAAGATACCATGAAGTGTCTGATAACAAATGACAAACCGGGAGAAAATACTTGCATCATTCAAAAGGTAAAAAGTACTACCCCTACCATACAGGAGTTCTCAAATTGATAAGAAAGGTGAATAGTAGCACAAAAACGGGTGAAGAATAAACATAGACAAATCTTAGGGAAAAATAGAAAATATATTCCACTTAACTAATTAGTAGATAGGAAGGAGCAAAATGATAACCAAATACCCCTTTTTCAACCGTTGGACTGGCAAAAATTAAAATGGTTTATTAACATCTAGTGTTCACAGGGATATAAGGAACCAAACATTCATAACATTGCAGTTGGGGATATACATTATAATAAATAATCTTATGATTTCTCAGTATCAAGATCTTGCCATTTGAATCCATTATTTCTTCTTTGGAGAATTATTGTACAGAAATAAATGTATCAGTTGCATAAATATGTGTCTATTAATGATGTTTATTGAAGCATTGTTCAGTGTCAAAAGTCAGGAAATTGTTTGAATGACCATAAGTAGAAGGCTGACTAAATTATGGTACATACATTGGATAGTAATTTATTAAGATAATTATAATATGTGTATATTGACTTGAAAAATATTAACTGTTAAGTTTTTTTAAAACATACGGCATAGCCTTTTTTATTAAAAAAGTCCTATTATATGAGGTTTGAAATTATGTAGAAGGAAACACAGTAAAATTTTAGAATTGCCTAACTCAGAAAGGTAGCTTTAGAAGAGACCAGAGTTTATCCTCTTATTCTTTACTTTGTATCTCTTTCCTGTTTGACTTATGACAGCAAGCACATAATTACTTTAAAAAAAAAAGAAATAGCAAAGTACAGAGCTTAACTTTAGTCTTTAAAATAAGCAGTAATAGAATGTTTTCAGTTTTTTATAATGTGTTCATTTTTAATACATGATTATTGTAAAACTGTCTACTCATGCTCATGTATTTTGTTTTACTTTAGCAATGTCTGATCGTCAAGAGAGTGCTCTTATAGAGCTAATGGTTTGTACAATTCGTCAAGCTGCTGAGGCACATCCTCCAGTGGGAAGGGGTACTGGCAAGAGAGTAAGTTAAATTAGTGAGAAATCTACTAAAAGGTTTTTAATGCAATTAACTGTCTTAAATATTTGGAAATTTTACTGATATTTGTATCCCTAAAAACATGGTATTTTTATAAATGATGGACTCTGGTGCTTCATCTTTATATCCTATCTGCTATACTCAGTTTCCAAAAATAGATTCTTTCCTTCATGCTCCTATAGCACCTATACCTGCTTCTGTTATTGTACTTATATGGTATTTTAAGGATTTTTATATCTATTAAAAAAAAAATACCTAAAGGCTCTGGAAGCAAAATGCCTAGTTTGCAAGTTCTTCTATTTAGCAGCTATATAATCTTTAGATAGATGAATGATTTTTGTATGTCTTAGTTTCCTTATCTGTAATATGGGACTAATAATAGAGGTATTTATATTAGAGATGAGTTGAGATAATCATAGATGAAGAGACTCCTGGCTCTGTTGGTTTGAAGAGATAGGCAAATCTGTCCGCAAAAAGCAAGTATTAAAAAACTAGAATGTATTGTCAAAAACATTACATCAGGGCTCTGGAAATTCACCAAAGATTAAAAAAAACACACACACACACACAGTGGGAAATATTTTTTCCTGAAAAATTGATAGAGCTTCAGGTAAAAGCAGCGGAAGTCTGTGGCCTTCTTGTCAATACACATGTATCCCCATGGTTGGTCGGTAAGATCTGTAGTTTGTTACCAGAATGGCACTGTGTGCAAAAACCCTAAGCTTTCCTGTCAGAGAGAATGGATTCAACATGGACAAGTAATAAAAGCCCACAAACAAACAGGAAAAACTTACAGCTTCAATAATCTGGGGTTGTGGTAAGAGTACTGGACCAGCCGAAAATTTAACTGCCAAATCTTAGAAATGAGAATGCTATGAAAGGATTAGCTGTGCTCTCCATACATCCCTGGCTGACTAGGAAACGTTAGAGACGTTAATGGAAAGTAAAAGTCAAGCAAAATCTAAGAACTGGGTGAACTTTGAACATGCTCCCTAACCAACAACAGATCATTTCTCAGAGGGGTAGAAGCCTGATTGAAGCCACAAATATTGCAATATTTGAACACAACTTCTGCCCAAATGATTGGTTGACTCTACTAATTTATTCAAACACAACGAGGACTCCTAGGAAGACAGGCTAAAAAACAAAAGTAAGAATAAAAATTCTGAGCAGAGATAGCAGAAGTAACTCACTATGGAGGAAACAGATTATTCAGTTTATGTTAAAGATTCCCTTTAAAAAATTGGAAACTTTTATAATTACAAAAAATTAAAATCTATAGTTAAAAATTGAAATCCGCCAGATTCAGTGACTCATGCCTGTAATCCCAGCACTTATGAGGCCGAGGTGGGGGATCACTTGAAGTCAGGAGTTCAAGACCAGCCTGGCCAACATGGTGAAACCCCATCTCTACTAAAAATACAAAAATGAGCTGGGCAGGGTGGCAAGGGCCTGTAGTCCCAGTTACTCGGGAGGCTGAAGTAGGAGAATCACTTGAACCCGAAGGCAGAGGTTGCAGGGAGCCGAGATCATGCCACTGCCTTTCAGCCTGGGTGACAGAGCAAGGCTCTGTCTCAAAAAAAACAAAACCAAAAAAAGCAAAACACAATTAAAATCCTTAGTTACTGTATTATCCAAAAATGTCTACTTTCAAGAAAAACTACAACCATGCAAAGAAACAGTAAAATGTGACCATACTCAGGAAAAAAAGCAGACAATAGAAATGGCTTCTCAGTAGGCCTATATGTTGGATTTAGCAGGCAAAGACTTCAGAGGCCTTTTAATAAATACATTCAAAGAATTACAAGAAAATATGAAAACAAGAAGTAGAGAATCTCATATATATGAAAACCCAATATGGAATTTGGGTTTTCCATATTATGGAAATTACGAAAACCCAAATGGAATTTCTGGTGAGAAGTACAATGCAAAAATTTAAAATTAACTGAATAAGCTAATTAGCAGATTTAAGATGATGAAAGAAACAATAGAAAAACATGAAGATTAATAGAAATCCATTCTGAAGAACAGAGAAGAAAAAAGATTGAAGAAATATTATCAGAGCCTCAGAAATATGTGGAACACCATCATGTGCACTGAAGTATGTATAATGGGAGTCCCAGAAGGAAAGGAGAGAAGGATAGAGGCAGAAAAAATACTTGAAGAAATCACTGAAAACCTCCCAAATTTAATGAGAGACAATTTATAGATTTAAGAAGCTTAACAAAACCCAAATAAAATAAACACAAAAGTTCCACATGTAGACATAACATAGTCACGTTGTTAAAAGACAAAGACAAAAAAATATTGAAAGCAACAAGAGATAAACAACTAATATAGAAAGCAGTAGCAATAGGATTAAGAGTTAGCTTATCAGAAACAATGGAGCCCAGAAGACAGTGGAATAACATATTCAATGAAAGTCAACAAAATGGCCAACCAAGAATTATAAATTTAGTAAGATTGTCTTCCAAAGATGAAGTGTAAAAAACCATTACCAGAGAAACAGAAAGGGGAAATTTGGAGAATGTGTTGCTAGATCTGCCATACCAGAAATACTAGAAGAAGTCCTTCAGCTGGGTGCAGTGGCTCACGCCTGTAATCCCAGCACTTTGGGAGGCTGAGGCGGGTGGATCACAAGGTCAGGAGTTCGAGACCAGCCTGGCCAACATGGTGAAATCCCATCTCTACTAAAAATAAAAAAATTAGCCAGGCATGTGGCACATACCTGTAGTCCCAGCTACTCGGAAGGCTGAGGCAGGAGAATCTCTTGAACCCGGGAAACGGAGGTTGTGGTGAGCCAAAATGGTGCAGCTGCACTCCAGCCTGGGCAACAGAGCGACACTCCAACTCAAAAAAAAAAAGAAAGAAAAAAGAGTCCTTCAAGCCATAAAGAATACCATAAGATGATAAAACGAATCCACAAGAAGGAATGAAAAAAGAAAAAAGAAGGAATGGGCTGGATGCAGTGGCTCACACCTGTAATCCTATCACTTTGGGAGGCCAAGGCAGGTGGATTACCTAAGGTCAGGAGTTCAAGACCAGCCTGGCCAACATGATGAAACCCCCATCTCTACTAAAATTACAAAAATTAGCTGGTCGTGGTAATCCCAGCTACTCGAGAGGCTGAGACAGGAGAATTGCTTGAACCCAGGAGGCAGAAGTTTCAGTGAGCTGAGATCACCCCACTGCACTCTAGCCTGGGTGACAGAGTAAGACTCCGTCTCCAAAAAAAAGGAAGAGTGTAAATCTGAAATGGTAAGTATGTGAGTGGATGTAAAAGGTAAAAGGCTGTGTGTGTGTGTGTGTGTGTCTGTTTCCTTCTCTTAATTTCTTTGAAAGAACATGAAATTATTTAAATCAAACTTGTCTAACCTGTGGCCCACAGGCTGCATGTGGCCCAGGATGGCTTTGAATGCAGCCCAACAAAAATTTGTAAACTGTCTTAAAAGATTATGAGATATTTTTGCTGGTTTTTTTTTTTTTTTTTTTTTTTTTTAAGTTCTTCAGCTGTCGTTAGTGGTAGTGTATTTTATGTGTGGCCCCAGACAATTGTTCTTCCATTGTGGCCCAGGGAAGCCAACGAATTGGATACCCCTGATTTAAATCAATAATTATAGCACTATAGTGTTGAGATTATAACATAAATATATGTGACAAGAGTAACACAAAAGGGAAAAAGATATGGAACTATATTGGAGCAAAATTGCTATGTTTTATTATAATTAATTCAATATCAACCTGAAGTCAGTTATAAGTTAAAAATGTATATTATAATCCTTACAGTAATTATTCATACTTAAAAATAAAAGCAGAGGAATTATAGTGGTCCTCATCTGTTAGAGACATATGCTGAAATATTTAAGGGTGAAATTATATACTGTTTACCCTTGAACAATGCAGGAGTTAGTGGCACTGACCTGCACAGTCAAAACTCCACGTGTGCTCACTTTGGCACCAGATACACTGAATTTGGAACAATACAGAGAAGATAAGCATGGCCCCTGTGCAAGGATGACATACAAAATTTATGAAACTTTTTATGAATCTTAAAATTTTAAAAATTCACATGTAACTTTTGATTCCCCCAGAACTTAACTACTGTAGCCTACTAGTAGCCTAAATGATGAGAAGCCTTAAAGCTGTTAGCACAAACAATGGATTAACACATTTTGTATGTAATATGTGTTGTACACTGTATTCTTACAATAAAGTAAGCCAGAGGAGAAAAAAGTTTTTAAGAAAATCATAAGGAAGAGAAAATATATTTACTGTTTGTTAACTGGATCAACATAAAAGTCTTCATCCTTGACATCTTGACATTGAGTACACTGAGGAGGAGGAGGAAGAGGGTTTTTCTCTTGCTGTCTCCAGTGGCAGAGGCAGAAGAGATGGAGATGGAAGGAGAGGCAGGTGCACTCTCTGTTTACAGAAACACATTGTAATTTCTGTCTTTTTGCTTTTTTCATTTCTCTAACAATGTTTCTGTGTGATACCAATCCTCCTTCCACTATTTGCTTTAATTTCAGTGCCCTCGTAATACAAGGGTCTGTGTCACCAAAGAAGCAAAAGCAGTCTTGAATAATTGGAACTCTTCTGCCAAATTATCTAATGTTAATTTAGGCACCCCTTCTTCAGCATTTTCTTCCTCATCATCTGGCACCACTTCAGAAGCACTCATCTCCATCAAGTCATCCTCTATTAGTTCCTCTGATGTAGTGTCTTTTTTGTTTTTGAGACAGAGTTTCACTCTTGTCGTCCAGGCTGGAGTGCAGTGGCGTGATCTCGGCTTACAGCAACCTCTGCCTCCCCGGTTCAAGCGATTCTCCTGTCTCAGACTTCCAAGTAGCAGGGATTACATGTGCTTGCCACCCGCCCAGCTAATTTTTGTATTTTTAGTAGACACGGGGTTTCACCATGTTGGCCAGGCTGGTCTCTTGAACTCCTGACTTCAGGTCATCCACCCGTCTCAGCCTCCCAAAGTG